AATAGCTTAAATGTTATAAATTAATAGCATAAATATATAAAATAACATTTTAAATGCTATAAATTAATGGCTAAATGCATAAAGTAACAGTTTAAAAGTTACAAAATAATGGCTTAAATGTTATAAATTAATAGCTTAAATGTTATAAATTAATAGCATAAATGTATAAAATAACAGTTTAAATGTTGTAAACTAATGGCTTAGATGTTGTAAATTAACAGTTTAAATGTTAGAAATTAATTGCTGAAATGTTATAAATTAATTGCTGAAATGTTCTAAATTTTATAAATTCATGTCTTAAATGTTGTAAATTAATAGCTTAAATGTTATAAATTAATAGTTTAAAAGTTACAAATTAATGGCTTAAATGTTATAAATTAATAGCTTAAATGTTATAAATTAATAGCTTAAGTGTTGTAAATTAATGGTTTAGACGTTATAAATTACTGGTTGCAATGTTGTTATTTGTTTTTTTTTTATTTACCTTATATTTAAATTCTTCTTCGATGTTCACTCTCCAGAATTTCAGTGCTGAAATGTTACAAATTAATAGCTAAAGTGTTACAAATAAATGGCTTGAATGTTATAAATTGATAGGTTAAATGTTATAAATTAATAGCTTAAATGTATAAAATAACAGTTTAAATGTTGTAAACTAATGGCTTAGATGTTGTAAATTAATAGCTTAAATGATATAAATTAATAGTTTAAATATTGTAAATTAGTAGCTTGGATGTTGTAGATTAATAGCTTAAATGTTATAAATTAATAGCTTAAGTGTTGTAAATTAATGGTTTAGACGTTATAAATTATTGGTTGCAATGTTGTTATTTGATTTTTTTTTCTTTACCTTATATTTAAATTCTTCTTCGATGTTCACTCTCCAGAATTTCAGGCACAAAAGAGCTCGCGCGCGACTTCCCTGTTCCTTATATACCTTGACAAGATGCCGGTTTGTTAATCAAACGGTAACGATTTTTTGACTTAGCAGGAGACGGTTTTTCCATTATAGCAAAACCAAATTGAACGATTTCTTAATTTTTATCGCAAATTGGCTTCTTTAACGATTTAATACGATATCCATTTTTATCATTTTAATAGTTTCTGCAAACTAAGACTAAGTTCACATTTCTTTGGTACTGGTTTTCGACTATCAATCAGTTTGAACAAAAAGGGAAAAAAGCCTAACGGCAGTCGATGACGTTACTGTAAAGTAAGTTAAGGTATTAAATAATCAGACAGATTAAATTCATATTAAGCATTATATTATATTATCGATATTCGTTCATTCACTCGTGCTAATTAAAAAATAAAATGTTCTTTTTTCTTGAATAACACCTACATCACTGTCTGCGATATTAAAAGTTCTTATATAATGTTTACTTAAAAGTCAGGTACTTCTTTGATTCCTCTCAAGTTAAACGAGTAAATTTACTCGTTATAATTGTAACATAAAATGGCTTTTTTTCTTCAATACCGCCTGCATCGCTATACGTGATACAGATATTAATTATGTAGCGAATAATATGATTGGCTGTAATCACGGTTATGTATTTCTTCGTAAGATCTATCAAAGGGTCTATTAGGCTATTAGCGAGAGACTAATTGATTCCTTGAAAAATGGTTTAACTGTTATAAATTAATGGCTTAAATATTATAAATTAATAGCTTAAATGTTATAAATTAATGGCTTAAAAGTATAAATTAATAGCTTAAATATTACAAATTAATGGCTTAGATGTTGAAAGAAGAATGTTTCCGCCATAGCTAAGGGTTACCCCAGTGTGCAACTGCGGGCGAAACGACTATCAACGCCTCGTATGATTTCGAGGCTGTAAAATGGTGATGAGAGCGCGCAAAAGCTTTTGCAGCAGATCTAACACAGCGAAAGGCCGGTAGGTGGCCAGAAAGGCAAGGAAGCGCGGCGCGCAATCAATAAGCTTGCAAAACGCGGTGCGGCGATGCCTCGTGCGCGGCAGCTTCGACTGAGCTTTCAGTCGGACGTTCGGCCGCGTTGAAAGTTCACGAAGTTCGTTTGCTGGTTATTTGTTTGCTCGTTCGCTTGCTCGCGCGCATCTTGCCGCGTTACATCGGATCGTCGTCGTCGTCGTCGTC